AGCTGTCAGTCACGCAAAGTTTGCCGTTTGCATGGAGAAGCAGCATGCCAGTGGAAGTTTTGCACAAAACCACGCCAACACAAAAGCCGAGTGGAAGGTGCATGAACTACGCGAATCGTTTTGTGAGGCAGGTTCAACGTGGCGGGGCATTGCGCAGGTGCCTCCAGTTCAAGCTTTGGAATGATGATACATCCATCCCGGGCACCGGCCTCTTTCCCTTCGAGGTGCAAAATGGCCAGGAGCTGCATGCGCTGAGCTTGTTGGAAGCGTTTTTTCCCCCCGACATGGGTAAAGTGCCCACTTTACAATGAGAGTGAGATGCGAGTTGTGTGCACACCAGGCGCTCTCAAAAACCTTTGGTGCATTTTGCTTGGATGTTCGGACTTTGTTTTTTTTGCCAACTAAAGTGAAACTTAGCAGAGCAGAAAGCAACCGAGAAACAGTGGCAAGAAGCAACGAAGTGAGACCCACCGACAGCCTGGAGGACAGCTCACAGCTGGCGGAGACCTGCCGCCGCTTTGGCGGTTACAGCTGCGACCGGTTGCCCTCCATTTGCGCCAGGAGCTTTACGATGTCCGGCCTTTTGATTTTAGAAAGGGTCGAAAGGACCAGGACCGGAGTCACAGAAATTCAGAGTCATAAGCTTTCTGCTGATGGGAGCTAATGTGATGTATACTAGGTGTTTTGCTTATGATAGTTTGCAGCGATGGCTTGCGGCTCATTGGCTCATAGATCCCCCAGAATGGCGAACACAGCCAGTTTGTCATCCAGCTTCACGTTTAGCGCAGTCTCTTAGTGAGGAAGCTTTGCAGAAACTTAATAAATGTGTGTGTGTGTGTGTGATGACCCTTTGTTGCTTAAAACAATAGGATTTCATTGTAGGACGTTGCAGGCTACCCCCATGGCCACCACAGCGACTTATGAGCAGAGCCTGTCAGAAAATAAGCATTTTTCAGCCCTGCCCATGTGCTCCCTCTTTTTGTGGGGGGTGCATTTTGAGGCATGTGCATGAATTGAGCGGCCCTTACGGCATTTCAAGGAAGCATGCAAACTGCACGCAAGATTGGCCGAAGCAGGGCGGGTCTGAACAGCCCGTTGGGGGCGGTCTTGCCCGCAGAGCGCCTCTTGTTGGAAGCACGGGGAGGAAAAACACCATGTCCTGGATGCACCCAGATGGCGGATGTCAGGAGCAATCCCTGCGAGGAGCGGGCCGTCCGCAGGCAGGTGGAAGACCGGCTCGGTGGGTCCAAGTCCAAGTGGGCCTTCGTGGCATCCATCGGGGTCTACACGGTGCCATGGATGAAAAACGAACACGTGCGGCCTAGGAGCCTTGCTGGAGACGATTGATCCGTTCAATTGCAAACAATTGCACCAGAAGGCTTTGGGCAAAACGGCGGCTGACAACTGCATGGCTCCATTCAGCCCAACGCAAGGTGCTGAATCTTTGCCACGATTGGGGCCTCCAGGCGGAGATCATCGGCCCCAGCGATGCGACTTGGAGTGCGAGGGGCCAGGGGCTGGTTGGTGTCCGTTTCTTTTTTGGGCAGGGGGCAGCCTTTGATTACGGACGCTTTGCCGGAAAAGCAAGCAGTTGACTTGGACAAAATTGCATCCAGCAGAGAACGAGGTCACCGAGTGTTTACCAGCAAACCTTTGGCCCACTGAGCGCCGTGTAGAGAGTTATGCTGGCTTGCGTATGAGCAGGCAGTGGTTGCAACAATGGAACCACAAACACCGCCGAGTGCCATGGGGGGCGGGGGGGGGGGGCTGGAAGAAGGGAAGGCGAGTGGACAAGGCAGTGATGCTTCACGTGCTGGCGACTTTGACCATGGCCACGATGGCTGCCTTTGCCTTGATGTGGGCATCTGGTGCCATGGACAGCGCGCGGGCGGGGAAGCGGGGCGGGTCTTTGCAGTCTGCCAGGTTCCCTGATGTGGCTGTGGGAATGGGTATGTCAGTGCCTCCCCGAACTGGGTTAGGAACTAGCAAGCCTTGTTGGAGTCAGGCTGCTTTGTTGGAGGCAGGCTGCTTGGTTGGAGTCTGGCTGCTATTCGCCCCTTCCATGACGCAGTTCGATTCCCAGTTACGGGCTCGTGGGAGTTTCAGCATTCATTATCGACCACTTGAAACCCCTGTATACCCTTTTGAAACGAACATGGCCGGGAAACGTGCGCCTCAGCAACAAAACGCAGTTCGAACCTAGATCGACATTCAGATCAACACGGGCCAGCCTGGGTCACATGGGCCAGCATGGGGCCAACCTGGATCAACATGGCCCCATCTGCATCAGCACGGGTCAACCCACACCTTTCACACCAGATCAGCCCCCCATCGGAGCCAACCGGCAGGAGCTTTTCTTCAGCCCGTTGGGGGAGGAGGCCGGTCTGCCCTGCGGCTGCTACTTTCGCTTGGCGGATGTGCCGTCCCTGGTGGCGTTGGCGCTGCCACTGAACCTGGTGGGCCGCCTCAAGACCAACGTGACGCAGGACCCCCACATCCCCCTTACAAATGGAATTTGGGCGGCGGGGGGGGGGGGGAACTCCGTTAGTTTATGGTGGGTAATGGGGGAATGCAAGACAAGCCATCGCTTACCCCCCCAATCCCCCTTGGCTTCAAGCACCATAGCGGACCGATGCTGCCCAAGCGTTGGTTGCATTGGTGGCGGTCGGTTCTTGATTTGTGTTGGTTTGGTTTGTAAGCTTATAATATAGTGAATTCTAGTTTGTTTTCTTGTTTTGGTGTGTTTGTTTATTGTTTTCTGGTTTCTTTATTTGTTTGTCTTTCTTTCTTCATGTCTTTCTTTCTTTCTTTATGTTTCTGTATTTTTTTCTTTGTTGCTTGCTTACTTATTTACTTACTTTATTACACTTACGTACTTCCTTACTTACTTATTTCCGGTCTTACTTACTACTTACTTACTTACATAGTTTGTGCGTGCTTTTGTTTTCTTTGTTTCTTTGTATTGTTTGCTCGCTGTGCTGTGCTTTGCTTTGCTTTGTTTTGTTTTGTTTTGTTTTGTTTTGTTTGGTTTTGTTTGGTTGTTTGTTTGTTTGTTTGTTTGTTTGTTTGTTTGTGTGTTTGTGTGTTTGTTTGTGTTTTGGGTTGGTTCGCTGCTTGCTGAGGTTGGGGGGTAGTTTTGCAATGTTTTGTGTTGGTGGAAAGGCGGATAGTTTCAGGCCCAAGTGGCTCGCAACGTCGGGCTGAGACAATGAAAGGACTCATGACCAAGAATTAGATCAGAGGGAGATCTCAGCTTGAGCCCAACCAGTTGCACAGAGAAAGGCAGTAACCTAGGCGATTTGCTGAGTTCCTTGCTTGTGATGTCGTGCTGGTCGGTTTAGGATGTTGGCTAGCAAGTGGACCAGCTGACCAGACGCACGCGCGGACGCTGTTTTTTTCATTGCATCATTGCTTGATTCTTGTGTTTCTGCAATGCATTTGTGCGAGCGGTGGTCAGAGAGACGACTGCGTGCACGCGCCGGGATCTGTAGAAAAACTCAGGATTTTGTTCATGAGTTCATGGTTTTGGGGCCTCCATTTCTCGATGGGACAGAGAAGCATGTTGCTAAAAGCTGCTATCCAAAATGATGCTTGCATCAGTCTCTAAATTCGATGCCAACCCAGCGAGCTGCCCTCTTGCACAAGTGTCACTCAATATGGTTCCTTCAAGCAGCCCTCTTTGCTATGCAGCTTCCTCCTGTCACAAACTGAACGCCTGCTCATTGTCCATACGTGCAAAATAGTGTGTATATATATATATAGGTAGATATACATATGTGTATCGCTTGTTCGCAGGTCATGCATGCTGCAATCATTGACAGCAGCTTCCTGCGGACAGCGCCATGGCAGACAACTGCTACTCAATGCTGTTTCTGGTTGTGCCACGAATGGCATGCTTGTCCATGTAAGTTCCCTTATCTAGCCAGACCATCAACCAGCCTGACGATTGTCACTTGACGCGGCTGGCCGGCAGACTGTCACTCAGCCAGCCAAGGGTTTTGCTGCAAGCAGGGCATTGCATGTTTCGCTTGCAATGCGGTCGCGTTGATCTATTGAAAGGTTGTCCAACAGCCACCTGTTCAACAGCGGCAATTGCACAGAAACAAGTTGTTTCGGTTTGTAGTATTTGCGGCAGAGTTCCTATTTGAGCATGTTCCCTGCATGAATGCAGGCGCCGCTTCTCGTCAATATGGACAGGTCCTTGTTTGGACAGCGCGACGTATTCTTGCCCAGGGCCGAGAGTATGAGATCAGGTCACCTTCTCGGTGCCGTACCACTTCATTGCTGGAGCCGACCTGGATCATGGCGAAGCTCGGACGTGGGGCTTATTATATGCTCTCGACGTGCCAGGGGGAGCATTTTCCCGTTGGCACTCCCAAAGCCCATTGAAAGAGTTCCGAGCATTGTCCATCATTATGTGTAAGCCAAGCCCAGGCACTAGGTCAGAGCAGCCTGCTTGGCGTAGCTGGCTTGGGAAGCCCCACGTGCACACGCTTCTTGGCCGGCGGTGTGGGAATGGCTTGTGCAACTTCGTCCCTGAAGGTGTCATCATTTCACTGACCGACAGATGCTTGAGCTACCCTCGTACTGAATTCCGTGCTGCCTTCAACATCATATTTTTCAGGATGGCAAGTTGCTTGAGTGTGGGCAGCGCTGCGCAAGTGGACAGGGCTCATGAGTCGCATATGTTGACTTTCATGTACAAAAAACTCGGGAAATTGAACCAGTTTCCAGGAACTCTTTAAGTGAGGGAGGAGCCCCTTTTTTAGGCTTTCTTCCGATTTGCGCACGGGGAGTTTTTGATTTTGTTCAGGGGCCTTGCAGTGGCGCCCTGTTTCCTTTCTTTTCCTTCTTTTGGGAGGGGAAGGGTCCCCCATTTAAGCTCCACCAACCCCAAAGATGCCAACTTTGTTCCCCAAAATCCACTCATCTGAGTCAAGGATGGTTTCCCATTCCAAAAGCTGGTTTCCACTCCCCCAAAGATGGGCTTCCTACCCGCTCGCTCGCGCTCGCTCGCTCGCTCGCTCGCGCGAGGTGTGGGTCGCGTCTGGGACCGCTTCAGCTCCAAGCAGAGAGCCAAGCGCTGGGCACAGCGCCTGCCCTTGCTGGCGGCCACCCGGCAGCCCAGAGACGAGATCCGCGAGAGAACAGGAACCATAGGAACCCCTTTGAGAGAGACACCCGAAATGGAGTTCGGGAGTCTCCTGTCCCATGAGAACCAGAATATGTTGAAGGAGCACCATGGGCAAGCATATGTTCTGTATGTTTGAGGGGCACCCTCGAAACAAAGAGGTGTCCCTTTTTTTTTGTTAGAGAAAGCCATGTTTGGAGTCCCCTATTTGCCTAGCGCTTTACTGAGGACGAATAGCTTGGGTTGAGTTGGACAGCCCGAGACTAAGCCCTTTGCGTGTTATCAATATGTTTGATAAAAGCTCCTGCTGGTGAATCAGTCCCTACTTGATTGAGAAAGGAAACTCGTGCATAACCAGTTCCAGTTAAGAATCATTTGTGTGCCATTTATTTTGAGGGTTCCCCCTTTTTGATGTCGGTTGAGAGGGAAACCACGGGAAACCCAAACGAAGCCACGTGGGAGGTCAACGCATTTGAAGGCGACACATTCCACCTCAAGAGTTTCTATTGGGAAGCCAGGGGTCGAATTTGCTTTGACATGGCCTGAGCCTTCAAGGAGGATGCCCGGCAAAAGGAACGCCCTCTCTTTGAGCTTTAGCACTTCTTCAATGTGCGTGCGTTAGGAACAGCACACTTGCATGGGAACAGGTTTGAACAGATGGCTTTCAAGCAGTCGCGTTTGGCAGGCATGTTGAGATCCTTTGTCCACAATGAAAGTGCTGTCGAGCTTGCACAATCCTCGCCTAGACTGGCATTTGATGGAGTTCAAAGCAGCCTCCCGTGTTTCGTTCATGTTGGAGCTGAACGCTGCATGGCTTTCCCGCACATCCTGCTTAAAGTTGCGCAAGCCCTCATTTGCAATCGCAACGCATTTTGCGTTGATCGACTTCGGTGGCAATCATGCTGACGTGAGGGGCCGTGAGGGGAAAGGCATCGACAACGTCAATTACGAAGAAGACCATATTTTGGTTGTTGAAGGCATGCGTTGGAGCCTTGACTAGTGTCCAGACGGAATTGTCACCGTGCAGGTTGGGATCATTTTGATGCCGCTGCTCTTCTCGAGCAGCTTTCTTATCTATCGAGTTGCAGACTTGGTGCTGCTGCTAGGCACAGATTGACTCTAGCGCGCTGCAGTCAGCTCACCTCCCCCAAATGTATGTGTTTCTGTTGGGTTTGGGGGTTGACAAATATGCAAGGCTATTTCTTTTCTCTTTAAAAACAACAAATGCGGGGTGGGGGGGTGGGGTCTAGTAGTTGTTTAGGGGTACCCACCCCCCTGTGTCGCAGTATTTGTCTTGATATGGGGTTGCTTTTTCTTTAGGGTACCCTTTCATTTATTTATTTTTTAATGAGATGCTTTTCCCGCCCTCCCTTTGGCTCTGGTGATTGGTCAGTTGCTTGCCGCTGACTTGATAGTCGGTTCACCACGCTGACCAGGAAGGGGCAGAATGTTATTTGTCAGGGCCACGCTTTTCGCGTGAACGCTGTTACTTGCATACATTTGCACTCGACAACGCCGTGTCTCAGACGGGTTCCCTTTTGTTGCCTGCTTTCGGTGAGCATGAACAACCAGCCCCGCCAGCCTCCAAAGCCAGTGGGAGGCACTGCCATTTCTTTAGCCGACTGGCTGTACCATTTCCTGTTTGCAAGTTGATGTTTGACAGACCCCTGGCAGCATTGCCAGTTGTCACAGCAGTGTCTTGCTTTGAGTTTGTACCAAGGCAGATGATGCGTGGCCTCGGTGTGCATATCGACCAAAAGAGCGGTACCCTGGGGCTCTTTGGGATCTACAGCATGATCGCATTGCAGGCGCGGGTGGGCACATGCGCCTTGTACCTTGCGTCGCTTGCGTTGGGCGACGGCAAAAGCCCAAGTCGGCCTTGCAGAAGCTTGGAGTTGTCGGCCCGGGTGCCCTTCATTTTGCCCTCTCAGTATGTGGAGTTTGGCAACTGTTGTAGCCCAATGTTGGTTTTTGGGCGCAGTCCGTCGAGCTTTGGGAGATGCGTCTCCATGATTGATGCAGTACAGGGTAAACGTCCGCAAGCCTTCAGACAAACACCGTTGCTGCTTGTTGTGCTTTCCCAATGATGACAAGTCTGGGGCAGTACTTGCGCACAAAACCAGCCTCCTTTGGGGCCTGGGTGCACCGCAACGTTGCCGTGGCCGTGGCAGGCTGTGGTGGTGGGATACTTCATGCGCGACACTTGGACTTTGCATCCCGGCTTGGAGGGGAGCATGCGTGACGACAGGCATGGATCCGCTCACGGAACGTCTCGGGGCAACCTTGCCCAAAACCCTTTTCATTGGGCTTATAGCAAGGCCTTTGCAGTCCTTGATGACCATACATAGTGGTAAAACGGAAAGCGAACCTGTGCCAGGCCTCTCTTCTGGTCCCCGTGATGTCAAAATCACCCAGCAAAACTTCCAAATTTGCGACAACATGCGACAACGTGCTCAGGCAAGTTCCGCCTTGTCGAGGTTCAGCCGACGATTTGAGCCCATCAAACTGCTGCTGTCGCGGCTGTTGTAGCCAGGTAATTATGTTAATTGAGCTTCAGAATCGAGGTTCTCCCCAATTCTCCATAGCCAGCTTGAAGGTGTGTGATCCTATGTTTGTTTTTGTTTTTTAGGCCGGAGGCCCTTTTTGGGCGCTGCATCGAAGCTTTCAGGCGCTTGGCGTGCCTTTTTCCTTTTTGCCATTCCAATGGATTTGCCCCCTTTGGCGAGATTGGTGATCTCACCTAGTGACCCGGCCCGGTCTTAACACAGCGGAGAAAGTTGCATTTGCAGCCTTTTGCCCTGCGCTTCTGCAGACGAGACATTCGATGGCACGAGAGAGAGAGAGAGAGAGCCTTTTCGGGAAGCTTAAGGATTGATAGCGTGATTGGGCCGTGTGGTGGTCGGAGTTGGCATGTCCATTTTTAATTTTGAAGGAGTATTGCCGAGTGTTATTACCCTAGACTTCCAAAGTGCATTAATTGCATGGCCCAGGCAGCAAAGTACATTTCTTGGGAAAAGGCTATTTTGTGATGATCTGGGAAGGCTGATCATTTTTCTCAGTTGTGCTTTCAAATGGCGACTACGGCTGGCTGAGCAAAGCACGTTTATGCGGCATGCTTCGTATACCATTGCAGCAATTGTGGCAGTAGGGCAGCTCCTGCCTGATGCAAGCATACTAACCTCATGCCAGTCAAATCTGTAGCTGCATTTTTGGCACTAGTTGGTTGGTGCAATGCGGGCTCCACGTGAATCCAAAGCAAGTGCGAAACAGCGGCTGCGAAACAGATCTGCAATGCAACAGATAACCCGAAATTATGCGCCCAAAAATGGCCGTTCTACGGCAATAAATGCCCCTGATTCTTACGGCAAACACTGTCCGTTCTACGGTTTGGCTACGGTTTGTCAACGGCCCACTGAAGTTCGAACAAAGTGCCGCTCAACAATTTGATCAAGACGGCTTGACAACACATGCATGCTGGTCGGGATTTGGACCCGATCTATCTTGGAGTTGGTCCTGGCTTGCCTATGGAATGATTGTGTGGTTTGTGCATGGTTTGTTCGTGGCTTCTGCCAGAATTAGTGTATGAGAAAGATATGTCTTCCAGCCAGCTTGGCCGGGCCCCCTGAGGGTCCCTCCAAAAGCCTGCAAAAAATAGCCGGGCCACAACAGAAAATTGCCGTTGCCCCTGGCACATTTATTTCATGCTCGAGGAAGGGATTAAGCACTTTTCGAATGTGCACAGACAACAAGGGGGATTCGGAGGTACTCAATCCTCGCGGTGCAGAACAAGGACTGGGTGCCTGATGACGCCTTTCTGGAACGCCTGGCTCAGGCCAAGCCTGAGCTGCGTTGGGCCTTTGACTCCTCTTCCCCTCCGCGCGCGCACTCCCGGTAAGCCCGCGCTGCACGCGCGGAGGTGCCTTGTACAAACACGCACTTCCCCCATGGGCAGGCCCAAGGAAGAAGTGTTGAAATCTGGCCGGCAGCTCCAAGACGGAGCTGTGGCTTATGGTCTAAGACAACCGCACTGGCCTCTTCATGACCTGTGTGAAAATCGGTGCACTTGCCACAGTACATAAAGAATGACCCCTTGTGGTCCTCATGATGCATTGAAACATGTTCAGCGAAAGTTCCAACTCCTGGGTGAAGCCCGGTCCAAAGTGGCGGTTCCCAATATCGCAAGCCCAATATCGCTAGCGCCTAGGCTGGGAGAGCTCAGTGGAGCGCTGCGGGAGGAGTTTGAAGGCTGCCTGGTGGACTTGGAGGAGGCCTAGGGGGGGTGCAGGCACCAACATGGCGTGGCGCGCATTCCGTGTTTCTCGTTTTGCTGAGAAGCTTCAGCTAGGTCCCCCAGTACTGCCCTTTTTCCTTTTCCTTTTTTTTTGGGGAGGGTTCACCTACTAAAATAGACTATACAGAAATAAGTGTATATATACACTTGTTCTAACCTCTCTACTGGAGGACCTAGTCAGAAGAGGCGAAGAAGCTGGGTTCAGCATTGTCGACCGGCCAGCTCTTTAGCCCAAATACGAGAACGACCGATTAATGATCCGACAAATGAATGTGTATTGATACGGCCCGAACAGCCTAAAAAGCCACAGGGTGTCGCTGTGAAACGAGATGGCCAGCGAGATCAGAACGAGACAGAGTGTTGTAGAAGAAACGTGTAAAACAATGTGCGCGCAGCCGCCTTCAGGGCATGCAAAAGCAACACATCCAAACGAGTCCAGAAAGAGTCCAAAACGAGTCCATAAGTTGCGATGTTCAAGTTTGATTTGCCAACGCGCGCTTCGCGCACTGCACTTGTGCTGAACGGCTGTGTTTGTTGAGCTGTAGCTGCCCAAGCGCACTCCGCGTGCCCGCGATTTGTGAGCTCAAAAGCGTAGGAAACACAGCTCTGCAAACCTCGGTTTGCTTCGATTTTGCCATGCAACGAGTCAATCGATTTGTGTGCGTGGCCATGCCCCATGGTCACAGCCACGTTTGCATTCAACATGAGGGTGTTAGACGGGGCAAAGTAAGACAGTTGGCAAGTCGTTGGTTTTTGTACATGGCAACAAATTGGGGATTCGGTTGGTGCCAGATGGTGCCAGCATGATTTCTGAGCAGTTGCTACCTTTCTATTTAAACCCTGCGAACGCCAGCTTGTGCTACCCAACGCTCCCACGCAAGGGCGGCGTATCCTGACATCCCTTACCAGGGCATAGTCCTCAACTCTTGTCTCGCCAGGTGCCGAACACCCCAGCCGACTCCGAAGCAGCCAAGTGGTGTGAGGCGCACCGCTGTTTTGCGTCCTGGGAGGAAGGAGGTCATGAACCTCCGGCGCCCCAGTCATGTACCCCAAATGCACGTGTTGCTGCGGGGCAATCGCATTTGTGCGCAAACGTGGCTGGCCCGAGTTCCGAAACGTGAGCCGCCCATGGCCGGCGAAGCAGTGCTATTTGATGCTATTTGTGTATGCAGCCATGGCAAGCCGGAGGTATTTAAGAGAGTCGTTGGAGGAGTCGCAGAAGACGCGAGGCCTACAACGGCATCCGCCGGTGCAATGAGCAGTTGGCGCTGCTCTCAGCACTGATGAACCCAGGGTTGGCAGTGACAAACGTTGGACCCCCATCCGAAAAGGGGGAGGGGGTCTAGGTTGGGTTTGGAGGGTCTGCGTTGCGGTCTGAGTCTGAGCGTGGTCAGCTTGCTAATACATGTAGTATTGCTGCTTCCCATGTGTTTTGTGGAGGGCCACAATTAGAAAACAGCTGCTCTACAACAGACGCCCCATTCAACATCAAAATACATTTTGTGATTCCTGCCCCCTTCTGCGGGAGGGGGAATGAGGGAGAGATATGGGGAACAGACAGGGAGAGGGGAGAGAGGGGAGAGAGAAAAAAAGAGAGAAAGAGAGAGAGAAGAGAGCAAAGAGAGAAAGGGAGAAAGGCAGAAAGGGAGGAGCAAAAATAATCAGTGCTTTGCTTTGCAGCCAACTTCCAGATCAGGCGGGCGCGATGCCAGGAACAACAACTTTGCTTGTGGAACTTCTTTCGGGCGTGGTGCTCACGGCGCGGTTTGACTTTCAACATGTTCTTGCTGGGGCTAGAAGGCTAGCAGCGGACCAGCCCAGTCGAACGAGAGCTTCGACCTGCCAAACTTGAGCCCTCAGACAACGCCTTTTCTTGAATCGCTATGGCTTTGACTTTTCGAGTGGGCTTCACAGGGTCGCAGTGAGGGGATTGTCACTTTGCATATCAGTTGCAAGGGCACTTGAAAGTCACACTTCGTGCTCAGATTCGAGGATGTGACTACCACATCCCGTTCCTCAAGTGACCCTGGTGGTATCAGAGGCAGTCCAACCCCATTCTGCACATAAAAGGTCGGAGGCACTTTGAGCACTTAACACCCCGACTTCCGGGACCTCCTGAACTTGGGAGGGGGTCCTCGTGTGGCATTTGCCTTAGGAGCTGAAGATAGCTGAGCTCCGCGAGCGCATCAACGAGAAGGAGCCCATTCACCGTCCGTGAGCGTGCAACAGATCGGAAGCTAAACTCAACATGCAAAGGGCTGCTTGTGTTCAAACAGCTGTGCTTCCGCAGGAGGGGCATATCGTGATAGCTTGTTTGACGTTACCCCTGGAGACCAAGTCATTTGACAGGCATTCAGCAAGGATTTGTGCGACCCCAGAATTGTGCAATGTGCAAGCGACAGTTGTGGCCACCAGCCTGCAGACATTGCTCCAACTCTCCGTGATCACATTATTTGAGTCAGTGGAGGCTGCGAAGAAGGCAGCCTTGAGGAGGACAAACACTCTCAGAAAAGCAGCTCCGGACAAAGCCCACAACTGTGAGCATTTACCACAAGCTCCTCTTTCTTGGGCATTGTATTCAGTGATTGCGCGCAGTCTATCACAACGGAGCCAGGCGGCCCCAGATGTTTCTTCGAAGCCAGTGGCCGTGCTTGTTCAGATGGGCACGCCGCACCGTTCAACAGACGGCCCCTAGCAAGCAACACGTTCGGGAAGCTCGGTTCGACGCCATGAGCGACTTCGGCCCGCTGTACTCCAGCTGCCTGACCGGGCGGGTAAGGAATTCGGAAGCAGGGAAGTATCCGAATAGCTGACAAAAATGCGACGTAACTCCCAAAATGAAACTTTCTACCATGGATTTTTTCCGCATGGACTACAGCATTCCAATGGACTGGCACAAGGTGGTTTGACTGGAATTCTATTGCTTTGGCTTCACTTGCCGGAGAACAATGAAAGACTAGGGCCTCAAAAGTCAAGGGATACAGAGAAGAAAGGAAAGGACTCAAAACAGCATCTGTTGGCATAGGTGTCCTTTTTGGTTGTTTTTGCTCGAGTAGATGGCAATTCCTGGTTTAGCTGGTGGTTTAATCATCTACCAGGGCCATCTATTTCTCCTAAAAACACACCTATGTCTGTTGGCCAAGCAGAGCTCCTTAAAAAGATACATTTTGCCCATCTGAAACATGGCTTTTTCCACCAAAATACAGGGAACCCACCATTTACAAGGCCATGTTCAGGTGTATGTAAGGATCCCTGCCAAGCCCCTGGGATCGTGCGGGTTTTCCAAGGCTTCGAGGAGGCCATCGCCGGAAAGCTGCAGGCCACCCGGGAGCTCCTGGCGCGCGCGGAGCTGGTGCGCGCGGAGGTGGCGAAGGCGACGGCCATCGGGGTGGATCTTTGATTTTCCCAGGCGTTTTGGTTTCCTGGTCGTTTTGGGCGTGGCGTTCCAAGTGACTAGGAGGACTAATTGGGAAATTCATGGAGGATGAATCTCCAGGTTCCGCTGGTAGAAATGTGCAAATGTTCGCAACCGAAAAAGAGACCTCCAACACTTTAAACACTTTTGGCGCAGGAGCTAATAGCCACCAGGTATCAAACATCCGCACCAAAATCACATGAGACATTCAGGGGCAGGATTTTTCCAGCGCTGCGCTTTATCCAACAAATTGCGTGTTCTTTTAGCCTGGACTCAGCGTCATACATTGCTTTGTGCTAACTAGTGAAATCGGAAGGTGTGTGTGTGGTAGCGCTGGACACGCAAAGGGACATGGTAGAGCTAGACTGGACATTATGAGGACCTGCCAGTACAATTGAACGCTCGCCGAACATAAAATACGCATTTGCTGAGTAGAGGTAACAAGACATAAGCGAGGCACGTCTAGACACATGATGGAGCTCAAAATAACTGATGCTAGGCAGATTCTAAACACGTGCGGTACATATGACTTGCATGCAACTCGCGAACTAGGCAAGCCTGCTGATATGCTAGACATTTACGAAGTCCAGGCACACAATATGAGCAAACGTCAAAAGTCGCGTTCTCTAGAATGTGCAGTCTGCGGACAACCGTTCTTCAAGCGTGAAGAAAGCTGGGAAGCGATGGGGCTCCCAAAAGTGATTCCCTGCCACTACTTCAGAGGAAAACCAAGCAGAGACCGTCCATTTTCGCGAGTCCCTCACAAAACGGCAACTATCAACACTTGACTGTTGGTTGGTAGATGTGGCAGGTGGCGTATGGCTGTGCTTGAAGCTAGACCACCATCATAACATGTAAAAGCAAGATGCACCGAAGCGATGTTCAAAGCGATGCCCAAACGATGCCCAAAGCGATACCTAAAGGTCTTCAAGTTGCCCAGTTAGTTGCCCATTCAGCTGCTGAACAACACTCGCCTTTGTTTGCCCCTTTGCAAACCTGCAGCATAACCCCGCAACAGCGCCTTGGAACAGCACGCCTGCAGCCTGCAACAGCACCCTGCAATAGGACCCTCCATAACTCTGAGTCTCGGCCTGCTGCAGCACCATGCAACAGCATTGCAACAGCACCTAAGCCTCGGCCTGCGGCAGCACGCTTCAACAGCGCATCCCAAGAGAGAAAAATAGGTTTAGTAGCGCAGGTTGGCTTGGAATTCAAGAAAACATATCATTGCGTTTGGAAGACTTTTGACTTGGATATTTGGGGCGACGGGTCCAGATACCCATATTTGAACATACAATATGCAAGAGCGATGCCTTGAGAAACAAAACGCAAACACACGCGGGAAGCGAAGGGGGCCGTCCCAAATTGGCGGTGTCCACTGCCGGATACAGGGAGTTTAGACAGCCGCACATATGTTCCAAGCGTCCATTTATCTTGAAGATGTGCCAGCCGCTTAGGAATATGCATCTGCCAGACACATTCTACGGAGACCCTGAAAATGAAGGTGGTGTCCCTTGCAAGCCAAAAATGAATTGGGGACACGCATGAATGGCTTTCATGGTTTCCCAACCAGGCTGAGGCCTGCGCACAGCTTGGGCGCCAGAAGGCGGAAGAGGCCAGCATTTTCGGGTGCACGGGCGAAGACATGGGAATGTGTCGAAAATGGGGAGCTACCTCCACCGGCCAAATAAACAATCAAGAGCACACAATATACATATATAGATACATAAGTATATGTAAGATGCCGTTGATATTTGGCTGCCCTTTGATTCCAAGCCCTTCAATCCACAGGGTACCTTCCTACCATGTTTTTGTGGGCACTGTTTTTACAGCAAAACAGCTCCGAATGCCTGGTAGCAGGGCATGCACATATTCAATGCGCTTGAGGAGGGCCCAAGTCGAAGATTCAAAGCAAGCGCCCCAACGAGTTCTCATATTGGAATACACGCCTGGGCAGAAACACACATGCTGCGCTTGTGTGCCTGTGTCTGTTGCTTACCTTTTTTGAGTCGAACACTGTCCTTTTTGCACAGTTTGCGCCAATTCGAGTTTGACGTGTGCAAGTCCCATACATTCATTGGATTTGGTAGCGTGGTGAGGGCAGGGTACGTGACTGAGAAGTCAATTATTATGAACGCCGCTCGCAAGCCGCGGGTGGCAAGATTTGAAATCCCGCTCACCCAAGGTGCCAGTAGAACACTGCCAGGCACTCCATGATGCCAACCATCAGTGCCCTTTGCACCTTTGCATTCAGCATTATGTTGGGTTCAAACACCCTCCTATATTCGATTTCGGCTTCAAGATGTTGGTGCAGTTGCCTGTCATGAAAGCAATGAAAGCGCCTTTCCAGGTGGACGCCAAAATGACAGCTGAAGAGGCGCAGGACCCGAGTCCCCTGCAATGAGCGAAACAGACGTGCTATGCAGCCGTACATGTCCTTACAACGGATCTAAGAATTCCCGGAAATTTCAGCGGAGCTCGAACAAACCAAATCATGATGATACTGCTGGCGCTTCGTCCGGCAGGATGGCAATTGTGAAGCTGTGGTGCTCGCATTGTTTCTTTTGAGCAATTGCCTTGCCATTTTGGCATGCAGGCAATGAGCAACGCAGAGCCACGCAAGCATGGGATGATTCAGTGCGCTTGCCACCGGGTTAATCACCTGCGAAGCCATGGTTCCCTGATGACATGACTTGCAATCATTGGTGTTATTCCAGCAGATCCCCGCAGACAGGACCAACAGCTGCACATTGCAGCAGGTAATCTCAGCTCACAGTTCCCTGGATTTCAAAGTGCGAGCGATGCCGGGCAGGAGGCGCGGGAGGCTTTGGACAAGCTCTTTCAAAACATGGGCGTGAGCCAGAAGGCAGGGCCGAAGGCTTTTGAAAGCACGCCCTTGGCATCCCTTGGCCCTTGAGAGGAAACCGGACAATATCTCGACATACTGCGCTGCTGCACATGAATTTCCGGCAGGTTGGAGGTGTCCCATAGCTGACATTTGCCAGCAGCGTCGCGCCTTGTCTTTAGGCCACTTGCCTTTCTGAAGCACAGTTCCCTTTAATAGAGGGATCCAACCTTTTGAGGAACTCCCTCGCGAGACCAAGTTCCCTTCATTCCCCCTTGTGGTTTCGAGCACCTTTTGGGCCAATGGAAAGCGGCCCCTGTTATTGTGAGAAGGGCACTAGAGCACAAGGAGTCACGACCGCAGGCCAATGTGTTGCGAGTTTCCATTTGGAATGATGCTCAGATAACTCCAGACGAGTCGACGGGAACTCCAGACTTCAGTTAACTCTGGTAAGGCGGAACTATGGGGAGCCCCCGACGCGTCGTCCGCGCGCAGCTGCGAGGAGCCCCGCGCAGCACCTGCAGCGCCGCTGCCCCCGCTGGCGCCCCAAGTGGAGGCGACGATGCGGAGCACCGCGCTCTGCACGCGGCGCATGGTGGCGCCTCGGCCGGGAGGCAGGCCCAGTTCTTCGAACACGCGACTTTGATAGCGTTCACGGCGAGCAAGTTCATTGTGTAGTTCCCAGCCACTCCTGCACTTTTTGGTTGGCTGTGCCAACTGACGGTTACTCACTGCCTGGGACTCTTGGTAGGGGATTTGGGCCATAAGGAGATCGCCCGCTTGGCGGAGTCAGAGCAGCTCATCGAGCCCGGCGCCGCGTGCCATGGCTGAGCCGGGAGTGGGTGAGAGCTCTCCAGCTGGGCCTTACGAAGGCTGCGCCTGTTGAGGATGGGTCAAAGTTACTGTCGCTTTTGTACCAAAAGGCCGCCATGAATCATGGTCTTGACCAAAGGGCTTTGCTGCTTCGCTTGTTTGAGCGGTCGCCTTATGGAAGCTTCATCATGTTGACAAGGAAAACGGAAAATCCCTTGGCATATTGCTTGGATACTCAGTGCCAAGACTGCCAAGGAGTCCAAGGAATCTCCAGGTGTCGACTGCCGGGGCTTTATGGCCGCCTTGGGGTGGCCAGTTCGGCGTGTTTTTGCCGTTAGTGACCTGAGGTTAGAGAGTGCCATGGCACCCATTCCGGAGTCCGACGAGTTGCTGCAGAGCCTTTTGCAGCAGAAGCTTGATGAAAGCTGATGCTGCGTGTTTGTCTCACCCGGTCCCAGTCAACAAGGCTGGAAGTGTGGCGACTAGCAACATCTCAAACAGGCAGGCAAGCATGGCAAAAAATCGCTTGCATGGTTGTTGCGGGGTAAATAGCCCGTGTTTGGTTGCTACTGCCGATCCGCAACGCTTTCGATCCTTTGTCCTCTGCCAGACATTCAAGTTCCAAGCGCCTTGGGCCGCTGAGCTGTTCCCTGGTCTCAGGCTTTGGGAGGGCTGCCAGGTTGTTAGATATACCCGGGTGAGTATGCCTAGTGCGCACAGCCATGTAGAAGCCTCGCGCATGATGCTGGAATGAGAGGTGTCTTTGTTGCCCTGACCATGGCCAGAAGCAACCCCTCATGGGCTAGATTTCATGAGAGTATAGCAAGGCTGGCTTCAAAACCGGGAATGCAACTTCCCTGCTTGTTTCGAAAAAAGATCCTGCAACAGCTAGACCTGGCAAGACCCATCCTTTACCTGCAGACTTGCAACAGCCTGTCTGCAAACAGCCAGGAACATCTACTGTCTTCAGCTAAGTGCGACCACCTAGCCACATAACAAACAATGATATTGCGTTGTTCATTGTTTTTTCTGTGTGCATGCTATCCCTTCGCCAAATGTAGCCAAAATCATCAAACGCATCCGCTAGACCAGAGAGATGTGAGAAGGCTATGGCCCGAGAGGAGGATCAGAAGTCGGGGGACTACTACTCCTGGACGGCTCGCATGGACCTGGGCCCAATCAAGTACAAAGGACGGGGAAAGGCATCGCCCTTCCCTTTTGGCCAAACGTGTGACTCAACAATAAAAGGGACAAATCCCAAGCTTCAAATTCACCAAACAAGGGGAAGCGTCAGCAGCTTGTTCGAGCAGCGCAAACGTGCACGAAGGCAAGCCGTTTGAGACCTGTGGAGAACCCTGGCAGCACATGTTCTATGAGAAGGGGCGCCCATATGTTTCAATCCCAGAGTACGCCTATCATGGCAGGCGCCCAGAGCTTGGGAATCCGAATCCTAGGAAAACACTCATTTGCAGATCAAACGCCCCACACGAGTCAAAACTGCCTTTGTCCATTTGGGCCCAGCCTTGATGTTGCAGGGGCAGGACGTATTGAGCCCAGAATGCAGGCCAGAATTAGAGGTGTTCATGCTGAGCATGGGCGAAACAGCTGTTCATTGTTGGATTGGACATTGTCATGACTGCGGATGAAATCGAATGCCAAAAGAGGCTAAGGAGCAGCCGTTGGCATGCATGCAAGTTCATGCATTTATTGCCGGGTCTGGTGGCCACGTGACTTCATTCCAGTTACTTCAACCAGTCATGCGGTTGATGTATCAATTGGCATGTCTGGGTGTGGCATCCTTTTGTGAGCTGGGGGTTGCAGGAATCAAGTTCACGGACCTCCAATTCGACCGGTACCACCGTGAAAAGGCCCGGAGACAGGGAGACTGGCAGCAGTCGGACTCGGACGTGCCACCTGGGAAGTTGAGATCTGCCGTCAGTGTCTGGGGCCGGGGGAAGGCTATCCACCCGGACCCCCACTTGACTGCTATTGGGTTGGATCTTTAGACTTGAACTTTTTTGGGAAATCAGGGGGTTTCCACTAAACTCCCAAGCAGTTAAACTTTTTGCAGCAGGTGTGCAGGGTCAACAGCCACCAAGCCCAAGGCCCGGTTTTGGAGGCCCCGAAGTTTGGCATTGTGTGAGCGTGTTGGCTTTTCTTGGCTTGGTTGGCTCATTTCTGGAACAAGTCGGCGTTCAGTCACTCCAAATTCAATAGGACATGCACAGAAGGCATTCGTGGCATCTTTGCTGCATCGCCAAATCATAGAATCTCGAAAAAATCAGAACAGTTGCCGTAGAAGCATGCGGATGTGAGCTTTGCACTCAAACTAACTTGGTCAAGCGCAATGCAATTTGCAGCTAGATGCATCGCTGGCGTATCCCCCACGCATTATGCATCGCAGAAGCTCGAGCCAATTGACACAGTGACAACGCATTGCCGACGCAGCACGTGGGGCATAGCGCGGTGCAGCACGGACATCGCGCCGAGTTCTGCCTAGTCCTGGATCAAGTCTACAGTTTCCCTAAGGTTGTTGCCTGGAATCCCGGAATCAACCATTTGCCGTAATGACAGCTCAGAACAACTGAATGTGTTGGCACTATAGCTACGTACAGTGTTATCCCAACAAAGAACAATTATTTCTTTGCATTTTTTTCCCTAGTCAGGAGAGGTTAGAAACTTAGCCCCTGAGGTGTTTGCATTGCATCAATGCGTGTTTATGCTACGCCTTTGACTTGCAGTGTTGGACTCTGGCGTCAAGATCTTGGTCGCAGCTCGAGGCATCGATGCCCTTTTGCAGTCTGCAATCCGTAGCCACATGGGAGTTGTTTTTTGGCGCTGAACACCGCTTTTTCCTCCTCTGCTTTGGATTCGTTGCGAGTGTGCCAGGGGTCCTCTTTCTACTTCCTCGAGCTGAAGCTGTGACTCGGCAAGCGGCGTGGTCACACTCACAGCCAAGCAGACATGTGATGGCTTGGCCTAGGTTCTGCCTAGGATGCGTTCACATTTGGAGATGGGTAGGTTGCCAGTGACGTACATGCATCTTCAATTTCGCAAATCTCTTTTTGGGTCCAGTCCAACTAGGCAAACTTTACAAAATGCCGGGTTGGCAGCCCTTGAGGGTTCCAGAAGATCGCAAGTCGAACATGTTCGGATCATGGACTTTTCAGGTCCCTTGGGACGTTTTGGATTGAAGCCTACGGCAGAAGCTCCCAGGCCCTTGGGCCTTGCGCTGGAGGAGGTGGAAGTCGAGGGCGTGGGCACGGTCATCCAGGCGAGTGCTTGTCAACCTTAGGCCCCTTCGACATTCATGTTACTTTACAAGGACCTTACAAGGACCTGAGAATGTTGACCCCGGAGTAATAAACCAAGGGCATACTCCCGCAAATGATTCAACCAGGGTTCCAATTAGGTGCCATGGGGGGCAAAGCTCGATAACGGACGTTTGGGATATCCTGAGCCATTGCTCAAGGACCTGGTTGTTAGGCTAAGTGGCATTTCCTCTTTCGTTGGCGCCCTCAGGGTCGTTTAGCAGTGGATCACGTCGTGGGTGTCACTTTCCGGTTTGCTTTGCAATGGTTGGGCCTCAGGAGTGATGAAGTCCCCAACAAGAGGCCAATAAGGACCCCATGAGACCTGCTTAGGCCCTGTCGTGGGACCCCAGGCAAGCATACGACAGTTGGGATTTTGTTTGGATTGGCCTCCTTCCATCATGCTAGCATGGTCGCATGGTAACATGTGTGCATATTTGTTCTTTCACTTAACGCAAGTGTCATTTAAAGCAAACTCCTTCTCAACAAATGGGCAAAATCAAATTTCCAGTTCTCCAACTTGAAGCACAATGCTTTGATGTAGAAGGAGCAGACAAGCAGAAGGCATGGAACAGCAAAAGTGAGCTCGGAGTTCACGTGAGAAGTGTAGACGTGTTTGCCGCACAATCGAGCGCCTGTTCGCAAGCAGAAGCTCGCGGAGCAGCTCTCAGGTTTTCCTCCATGCCGAGTTGAGCGCTTCTCATGCGATGGTTGGTGCCCGTGGTGTTGGAAAGGCCCAAACACACACACATGTATATATATACATTTATATATTCATATACATATATTTATATGTACATTAATATATACATCTTATTTTCCTGCTACTTGGAAGATGCCGGTCAGGCCGACCGCTGAATAGCTTCAGTTGCAACTTTGTTTTGAGCGCAAGCAAGCAAAAAGCCACTGTTGTGAGCATGACTGCTGTAGAAGCGGGCCTCGCTTTACTTGCATCCGCTTGCATATTTGGGCGGCTGGCGGATAGGTAGTGGAGGTGGTTGAGGGCGGCAGCGCTTTGGTGGACGGTTCAATCCGCACCTTGGCGGCAAAGGTGTGACTGCAAGCAAGGCCTGACGCTGAAACGGCAATGTGCAACTTGATGTGGGCACATTTGCTAGCCCAACGTTCAACAGAGCTGGATAAAATGCCTTGTTTGGCACAACATTTGACTCACAGGAGGCAAGCGTCAACATCGGTTTCCTCAGTTTGTGCTGCAATGTAGCTAGCTTGTTGCTTTCCCGAATGCCTTTCAATTGATGTTACTGTGGAGAGGGGGATCACTTCTAGGCTTTACCTTTTTCTGAAGCACGTCTCAGATCTCCTTTGCGCAGACCCCATAGTAATCTCACGATTGGAAGGGCTTGCCATGTTGGCGACGCTTGCTAGCTAAAGTAATTGACTCGCTTGTGCATGAAGGCAACACGACTGGGCCAGCGTGTCGGGAGTGGTAAGCCCTGCCCAGTGAGCCCGTTGACACCTAAAGTAGTCGTTCCGTGTTCTATCAGGTGATGGGCGAGGAGTTTTGTGGTGTTTGGCATCAGGTTGCTGATGCGTTTCGCGATCTTTTGAGAGACTGGGGGGAGCACCAGTTTTCCTGGCAAATGGCACGGAGGTGTGGGTGACTATTTGCGGGCTGTAACCACCCCGCAGCGGCGCTTGAGCGGCGACGAGGGGGAGGAAGGCCTGCCTGTTCGGACACAGAAAGGACTTTGGTAAACCGCGGCTGTGTACTGCATATGTACATATATATATATATATGTAAAAATATGTATATATCGATATATATATATATATGTATGTGTGTATGTGTGTGTATGTGTGTATGTGTGTAACTGTATAAGACACATACATCAACAATCCAACTACTTATTCATGAATCAACGATCAGAGAAACGCAGGGCGCAAAATATTCACTTAGACAATCATAACATGTGCATGGATAGCAAACCATATGTTCTCTTTTATCACGCGAATCCATTTATGGATGAACATGTTTCATATTCATTTATGTCTTATAGAGGTGTCCATTGATTGCTCTCTATCGCTGCAGGGGATGTCCTGGAGACGTTTGGTGCGAGCGCTGGTGAGCAAACCAAGGCACGCGACATTTGAGTCATGAGGCGCCAGGCTGGTTGCAGTGACATTGAGTGGACGAGTGGCATAAGGATGGTCTAATGGGTAATCAACATCGGTTTGAAGATGTTTGGCTTGATTTAAGGCTCGCCGCAACGTGGGCAAGGCCGTATCATGTGGTAGTTTGGAGGCAAAGCGCACCGTATGTTCAAAGCGTGTTGGCGACATGTGTTGCCAGACTTTGCTGCACATGTTCTGCACTCAAGCTGCACGAACGAAGCTTTGGATTGCTGGCATAGAGCAAGGCAACAGGTTTTTCTTGGCTGCGGCTCTTGCGCAGGCTGTTCTGGTCATACCCCGCGGCTTTCCGTTCAACAAGGCCGATCGGATCGTGCTATTAGATTTTATGGGTGTTTGGGCGGGTCGGGTGGGAGGGTGCGTGCTTGCGTGCTGGTGTAGGCGAGTATGGATGTGCTTGTGATGTCAAGGTCATTGTCCCGAGGGAGTGACGATAAAGACCACCGTGTTCTATAAAAGTTAAACCAGGATCAACCCGACCACACAAGGCAATGTCTCGCATGAATGGGTTGCGAAGAACGAGGAGCCATCAATTGGAAAACCAGCTGTTTGTCCTCAAGTCTCATCGAAGCTTTGTTCTCCATGTCATGGAATACCAAGACGCAAGTAAGTGTCAGGGACACCAACAAGCGCACGTGCCAGGCGCCAGGTATGTGTGCGAGTCATCAAGCAAGTGTCGAGACAATTGGGGGGACAATTGGGGAGACAAGCCGTCATACTGTGCGAGTCAGCCAGCGCAAGTAGGGAGACAATTGGGGAGACAGTAGGGTAACAAAACATGGCAAAGTCCGAATGAGCAAGCACAAGCGGGGCTAAAAGTGGGGAGTCTCCCCACTTGTCTCCATTGGTTTTCCCACTTGTCTCCTAGTTGCTGACTCGGACACGGCATATCTCCCAACTTGTCTCCCTGCTTGTGCCTGGTCCCTTGTTGCGACTTGTCTTCCCACTTGTCTCTCCGCTTGCCCTGCTCACTTGGTGGCTCGGAAATTGTGACAGCGTCTCCCTACTGTCTCCCTGCTTGTGCTTGCTGACTCCCCCACTTGTCTCCCAACTTGTCTCCTTGCTTGTGCCTGCTAACTAGGACTTCGTCACGGCTTGTGGAGCTTGTCACAGATTGTCTCCTTAGTAAAGCTGTGGCAAGGTGTGAATCAGCAAGCAGAAGCAGGGAGACAAGCGGGAAGACAGATGAAGAAACAAGCTGAGTCAGAAAGCGCAAGCAGGGAGACAAATCGGAGATAAGTGGGGAGACGAGTGGGGAAGCGTGTAGCTGTGCCCGGCCTTTCGCAGGTCATGGATGAGATTGCAGACAACAGACGCTTGGATAGCTGCGCGGCCGACAAGATGAGCCTCAATTAGCCCACCCACGAAACATGGGGCATTTGTACCTCTACACATGTGCGACGTGTGTAACTACACGTTTTGCATGCAGGGTTTGATCGAGTGTGTTTGTTTGTTCGTTCATTCGTTTGTTTGTGTTTTTGCTTTCTATTTGATTTGGTTGATTGGATGGTTGATTGATCGATTGATCGAATGATCAGTTAATCACGTGATTTCATAGATTTGATTGGATTGATGGATTGGATGGATGGATCGATTGATTGCTTGCTTGCTTGCTTGATTGATTGATTGATTGATTGGCTGACTGACTGGTCGGCTGACTGCTCGACTGATCCATTTGTTGGTTGATGTGTTGATCGGTTGGTTATTGATTGAAGGGCTGATTAATTTATTGATTCTTTGATTCACTGACTGATGGTTAATTCATTGCTTGCTTGGTCGATTGGGTTTTAGTTTGACTTGAACGTGAGTTTGTTTGATTGACTTGTTTTGTTTGATTGATTTGATTGACTGATTCATTGATTGATTTGATTTGATTTGATTTGATTTGTTTTGATTTGATTTGATTGATTGATTGATTGATTGATTGATGATTGATTGATTGATTGATTGATTGATTGATTGATTGATTGATTGATTGATTGATTGATTGATTGATTGATTGATTGATTGATTGTTTGAACTTGTTGATATGGGTTGATATGGGTTGATTTGTTGATTGGGGTGGGTTGGATTGGATTGCGTTGGACGGATGGGTTTGGCTTGGATTTGTTAGCTTTGGTTTGATTTGGGTTGTCTTGAATTGTTTGCTTTGAGTTGATGTTGATTGATTTGACTCGGTTAGGTAACGGAATATTTGATTATTTTATTTCATTTGATCGACTTGACTGATTTGATTGTGTATGTGACTATGTTATTTGATTATGCATGTGATGATGATGTTTAATTTGTTTTGTTTTCACTTGTTTTGATTTGATTGATTGTGCGATTGGTTGGTTGTTGGGTGGTTGGGTGGTTGATTGCTTGATTGGTTGGATGTATTTCGATTTGTTTCGATTTGACTTGATTTGATTTGATTGATTGTTTGATTATTTGATTGATTGATGGTTTGATTGATTGACTGATTGATTGTTTGATTGTTTGATTGATCGATCGATTGATTGATTGATTGGTTGATTAATTGATTCATTGATTTGATGTTAACATGATTTGACTTGATTTGATGTTGATTGATTTTGTTTGATCTTATTTTTGATTGGACTGTTTGATTGGAGGCGGTGGTCTTTTGTTACTAGTTACTAGTGCTGTTTTTGAAGGGCTGGTTCGCCTGGTTGGTACGTTGCCTGCAATCATCACCTGCCTCACGTGGACCTGGGGCTGCCAACTAGGTTCAGACTTGGCGGCAGTTGGGAGTTGCTAGCGTTGGTTTCGGGTGAGTTCAAGGCTGGTTCAGTGTTTCGGGTTGCGTTGGGTTCATGCCTTCGTTCTATCCGTTCATTGTGACTGTAATCTCCGGCCATTTGCTTCTGTTAAGTCTTCTCGAAATCAATGGCTGCAGGTACCCGTACAGAGTGACCTGTTCATGGCTTCGTGTTGGGTACCCTTGCGCTTGGGTATTTGACAGGACCTTTGCGGGGTCCTTCGGGCCAGAAAACGCAGCTTCTCCCCGAGTCAGAATCTGAGGCTACGTCGGCCTGGTCTTCGAGCGGCCCTTCAACGACCCTTAGCCGGTTGCAGCCAACCGGTTCTACCTTTCGGGACAAAATGGGTCAACTGGGATGTGCGTGGCCTCGTTTTTTAGTGGGAACGCATGGGGCAAGCATGAAGAGAAGCAGGGGGCAGGCAACACGGCATGCGCGGTTGCACATTGAGTTTGGAGGGGCGCTGGTCAAATCTGTTGGTGCGATGACGAGCTGCAAGGTTAGCCCTCGCGCCTAGGAATCCTGAGGGTGAAGCCAACCTGAGTATACCGCAACCGTGCAGAAAGCGGATGGCTGCCTGTAGGAGAGGGTCATGCAAGTCATTTGCTGGTTCGGGCTGTTCATGCGCACCTTTGATCATTGAGCGGCACAAGGCCTTGCTCGGTAAGATGTGCTTTGGCAAGAGCAGTGGCTTGCTCTCCCGCGGCCATCCGCTGGTCACCAGTGCCCAGCCAAAGTGCCGACTGCCACGGGCAGGTCGGGCTGAATTTATAGACATTTGAATCTCAGTGCTTGCCAGAAATTGTTTCGGCGGTCTTTGCGGAGCTTGAGCGCGTATGAGTTTCACGAACATGTGCTAAATATGCTTTATCAGCTTCGCCAGCATGATCTCTTTCTTGTGATCAGTGCGCAGTTTGTGTTTTTTGTTCTTTCTTTTTTTCGGGGGAGGGGGGGGGGGGGGCGGCAGTGCGATTTAAAACTGTTGGCTTGCACAAGGAGAACGGGACTGCCCCGCATTGAAAGACACTGGATAAGATGCAGCTGTGCGCGCAAATGTTGACGCAACTTGTTCCGGGCATAGTTTCATGCTGATATGTCGCAAGCTGGGCCAGGCCCGGAGCAGGATGTTTGTTGGCACGCACTGCGCCTCTTTTTGGGCATGTTTTTTTAGCACACGCCAGTCACATGAAAATCCGACACCATGGCAATCGACGTCACTCATGAACGTGTTGATTGTTGGGAAGTCCTGGTCCTGAATGGCAGCACTCGCTCCTCATTGGCCGGCAAGTTCTAAATACAAAATGGACAAGTCTCGGTGAGCTTCTCCGTCTGCCCCCTTTCTGGCTGGGAGAGTGAGGATGGATAGGCTCCTGTAGTTTGCGGCTGTGTAGCGTGGAAGATGTCGATGCTCAGCTTAATAGTTCAGAACTTCTCGCGTGTGCTACTGCAGACCTACCCTAATGCTCAGTCAATGCGTGACATCTCCCGGCAGAACGGGTTGGTGGTCGATTTGAAGTCTGCTGTGGAGCTTGCTAGCGCGGAAAGCAGTGAGCAAAAACACTGCGTCACTGCGTCTGAGACATTGTGTGGCCAGTGACTGAGGTACCAGGCCGTGGGAATCATATACAGCATTTGGGCCTTGGCAAGGGGTAAGGGGGAGTTGGATGCCAGCAAGCTGTTCCCAGGCAAATAAGCTAATTCAGCAAATCACTGCTCACATGTGTCCCTCATGGTATCTTCTACTGGAGAACTGCGTCATCAAGACTCAATGCAGGCTCTTTCAGGTGTGCAGCATTTCTTTCAGAAAGAGTGAGAGTCCTGAACCGGCCGCAGGTGCACAAACTGAGATGGCCCCATGTGGCAGCAGAGGTAAGGGGAGAAAAGTCTGACGCCCTGGGCGTGTGTTGGTGTGGCTGTCTCCATGTCCAAAGGCTGGACTCAGGGCCATGGCTCCAAACAAATCCGATCAAAGATTGCCTCTGAGTCGGTGGGGCATGTTCCAAAGTTCATGCACAACGCATGAGAAAGCAAAAACACGTGCAATCACATTTGTTTGTTTAATGTCTACATACTTGCATATGTTTTGCACACATGTACACACATCGTTCATGCCAGTCCCGTGCCAGATCCCTCCATGTTCAGGATAGCAATGCGTACATATGTGTATACATATTATATATATATATACATGGATGTTTACTTACAATTACACATACATATAGACATGTATGCGTCACCTGGCAGCTGTGCACAAGAGCAATCCAGCAAAGCTTTGCGCAGAAGGGCTGAAAGGGGGCAACAGGTTGAAGTGCTACCCGGAGCCACCGTACCATGCAACCCCCGGTATGCACGAATCAGGAACATGACCTGCATTGCAGCACGCCCGCGGCTTGTTTTGCTCGAGTTTTCGCGTTGCGTTCGGGGCATGGCATTCTCGCTTCTTTGTCTGCACTGAGTTCGGGTTGTGCTCGCACCATGCTCAGCGCCCTCTTCTCTTCTTTCGGGATACGGGGCCTTTTTCAGTGGCCTTCTTGGGGAGCTTAGCAATGTGGAGTGCAAGGATGCGAGATGAATACCACGCCCGATAAGTTTCTTCACCAAGCCGAAGAAGTCGCAAGGACCAAGCCATGAAACAATGAAACCGGGGCTTGAGTAATACGTGTGACTTCTTAAGTTATGTCATGGAATGCGTCCTGCGCAAGCAGTGTCATGCCTGGTCGTCGTCATGCTGGCAAGGATGGACAGTACTGATTTCATCCTATGTGTGAGCGATGTCCAGCCGTTTTTGTTTTTGTTTTCATTTGATGTATTGATAGGCTTCATATGTTTGCCCTTGCCTGCTCAGGCAGGGAAAGCTGCTCAGCCCGCGCAGTGCGCAAGGCGGGGTGGCATGACTCATCTTTGCAGTAGCTGCGCTCGTGTGGCTGGCGCCGAAGTGATTTGAACTAGGAAGGCGGTACACAGCGCCAGTGGAGAAGGCTAAGTACAGCAGAAATGCTTGCACGTGTCATTGCATCCGAAGAAGCAGCATAATGGCCAATTGTAGTGATTGCTGTTTCCAGGAAGCATTACCCCCTCTCCCCCATGTGTGGTATGGCTAATTCATCTAATAGCGGCTTTTCTGCAAGATTATGTTTGGCCGTTTGGCCCAGTCCTATGAATATGTCCCAATTCCAGGCCCGCCAAGCTCGAGCGCCCGGAGCCCCGGAATTGCCGGGCTGCGGGCTGAATTGGTTTCTTGCCCAGCTTGGCGCCCCTGAAGCCTTTGGGGGGCCGTCGAGCATAGGTGGGCACAGAGGAGATCGGCGAATCAACTCCAAATGGTATGAATGGCTAGCTCGTCGCTCGGCCGCTTGTCGGGCGCGGCATGGCACGGCATCGTCCCTGTCGTAGCTTGTTGCACGTGTCGTTCCTGATTTTGGTGTGTCCCGAAAGCTGTCGTGCAGTGCCAGCTTCGCGGGCATGTCCGCGAGAAGCCGCGGCAGCTGCAGCAACTACGACCAAAATGAGAACACTAGATCCATAATGACTCAGGAAATGCGACTAATATGAGCGCGGGTTCGCTGAAAACGCCTAAAATCTGACTAGGACCAAAAGGTTAAAAAGAGCGGTCTACCATTGTCGTGCCCCACTCGCGTGTTGGAGAAGGCTCCCAAATGTTTTCAACTGGCAGAAGGGCGCTGCACTGTGTGTAACGGAGCTCGAAATAGGCACAAAATTACCCCACTGACATCAATAAGTCCTTTGACAAAAGACACGTGTAAGCAAACAGCTGGCCTAGCTGTGCAAGTAGCAGCAGGGTACTTAACATTGCAGTCCATGTTATAACAGGCAGCCGCTTTACCTGACACGCTAATGCAATTGCCTGTGTTAGATCACGGCTCGGCACGATGATCATCCAAGCATTCCAGAACAAGCACTGCAGCGCGAAACAGACACTGCTCATGCTAGCAGTAGCTGGCTTTACCTGGATCGCGTGTCTCCCCACCAGGATCTGTCCGCTGGCAAAGCGCAGCCAAGTGGCTCTAAAGTTCATTTTGAATTGAAACACCCCCAAAATTCGAGCCAGACACAAATCCTCAAGTAAATGATGTCCACGAAAAGGTCCCCGCTCCCCCAATTGAAGCCCATACCCGAGTGTTTTATCACCGAGGGCAACTTGGGCAGCTGGCTGGCTGCCGAGCTGCGCGCTGAGCCAGGGGCCTCAGAGCCAAACCAGACATCGATTCATCGGCCTGGACTGCATCGGCGGAGAAGGGCTGCACACTAGCGCAGGCCATATTTATATTCTGCACACTTGCCACTGCATTATTTTGCAGGGAAATTGCCCAGACTTAAATGAAATGGTTTCGCAACGATTTGGCAGTCTTTCAGTTACGACCTTTCATGCTTCCCCCGAAAATGCGGTCGATTCTGGGAGAGCTTCAGGCTCTTTTTGGTGACTGGGTAACTTTTTCTCGCGGACCGCTGAACTCGAGGCGCCAGGCTATTGCTGAGCTGCTGGTCGTGCGCCACGACGCACTGCTCAATTCGCTGCAGCAGGACGCGGGTCGCATCGTGTCGCATCGTGTCGCCTTGGCGCAGGGGTCGCGCGGGTCGCATCGTGTCGCACAAGCATCGCAGAGCCAACTGTCATTGAATGTGTTGATATTTTTTATGTGGGGTTCTTGCAAGGAGTGATGTGTTCGGGTTGATGTTGGTTTTAATCCCTCTGCGACAGATGGGCCATGGAGCAAAACAGGGTGCAACAAAAGTGCGCTCCTGCAGATGCTTTGGGTTCGCATACCCGCCCACCCGGTTGAGTCTGCCAAGGTCCCACGCAGGTTGCGAACATGGCTTGGTTTGAACAAGTATTGCCGAAGACCTCACACGTGATGCCCAACACACAGTACCGTGCACCTCCAAGACGAACATGACACATTCTGAATTCGAAAGCTGGTGGGGTGATGACTGGCGAGCTTGTAAGTTAAGTCTGGGATTGGCCTTGCAACATCCTTTGTATGGCCAACTTGTTCATTAGCTCCCACGTGGTGAGGCGAAGTTGCCGGACCCGCCGACCATCCTGGAAACGCCCAAGTGTGTGAGTCCCTTTCGTGCCTGAGGCCTCAGAGTGCTCGTGCAGCTTTGATGCTTTGGGCTGTCTCCAGATGCGGTAGGTAGCCGTAGATAGATAGCCTCAGACTCACCTACCCCTCAGAGTTCCTGCCTGCCCAGGCAAGCGGCCGGAGTGACAAAGGCGCAGTTGTTTGTCAATTTGTGCGCTGCTTCGGCGATTTGCTTTTCAGTACAGCCCTCACCACTAGGTCCACTGATCAATTGAAATCCCGTGTGCCACTTGCTGCCAGCTACGCGGAGTCTAAGCTGATCATGAGTTGGGCAGTGCCCATGATCTAGGAAATGTCGAGTCGATGTAATTGTTTGGTTGGCAGGCTGCCGAAATATGCATGTGATTCGTGCTTCATGCGTATATATTGATTCAGTGAAAGGCAAAAATCGGCCACACAGAAGAGAGGAAGCCAGTTCGAGAGCGAAAGTCACGTCAGAAGCTATGTATGTATATATATATATATACAAATACATAGCAGGTGCCTGCATGCTTCCAAAGCGCCCTAACGCGTTTCATTTCTTGAGCTGTTTGCAGGTTTGCTCCCAAGATGACTTGGTGATGGTGGCACCAGTAGTTTCAGGAACCAGGGTTGCCAATGGGGCTTTCTGTGCAGACGACATTTACAAGCGCAAAGTTATCCAATAGAACGAAGCCCATTTCAAAGACACTCAGGCGGTCGAGGTTCTGCTTGCCAGGTCCGAGCCAGCCCCAAGCTGAAGGCGGGATGGGACCCTTCTCCCCAAATTGCAGTTGTGCCTTGCAATTATCTTCTGGCGTTCCACCTCTGATAGCTTACAAGCTAGATAATGTCCAACGAATCCCATGCAGGGCAACTCCAGTACTTTTTCCGGGAGTGGCAAGTGTGCCACAACAGATCTCCTGCGGAGCAAGTGCTGGGTTGTTTGATCTTTGTTGTGTCTGTGTGTGTGTTTAGTACTCGGCCATGTGCTGCCATTGACTTTTACTTGTTTCGTTATTTTCGTTATGCTGACACATGTCCGCCAGGAATCTTGCAAGCCTGTTTTCTTGCATCCGATGACGGAGAAGAAGAAACAGGCACAGCAGGGAAGCGGGTTGGATGGGCGTGCGACCCTAAATGTGCTTGACGGGATGGGAGTGCCTAGTTCTCTTGTCTTCCCATTCGGATTGCTCAGCAATAATGATTGTAATTAGTCATGGTGGCTTCTGACAGGGATCGTCACTCCATGGAGCAGGTTTGTTTGATTTCGTCTGCAAGATATTATGCAATAGCTGTGCTAGTTTTTTTATCATCTTAGGGGCTCAACCATTCAGGTTTCGGGCCAGCGGGAGGGCGTTTGTTGGTCTGACGTTTCTCTCTATGTTGTGCTACTTTGACCGCCCTTCCTCCATGGTTCTGCTCATTCAGTTACGTCTACCCGCTGTTATTCCCACTGTCCTTCTCAAACTTGACCTAGCTATGTTTCACTCGATCAATCGACGTGGATGTTCTCCACAGTTTGCAAATTCCTGTACATATTTCTTCTGTCTGTTCGAGTGTCAGTTTCATGCGTTTGTCCACCATCTCTTCAGTTGACATGAAGGCCATAATTCGTGAGTACCTCCCTAACCAAGAGGATGCGCGAGAGATTGATCCCTAGCTGCAGGCATTTCCTTCTCAGCGCCTGGCGTCTCTGAGGAAGGCCTGTGCGCGAGAGAGGGAGCTTTCGACAACGCGTCAATCCCACATTGGATTTGGCTGGTTTCGGAGGCACAGCATCGTGAGCCACTATCAAAGTTTGAGTTAGTTTTGACATGCATTCGCCGTTGCACCTTTCCGCAAAGCGATCCCCCAATTAGGATGCAGCATCAGGAGGGGCACTTGTTTCAGGAGTTGTTTCTTTTTTTCCCTCAATAATTGTGTTGAATGCACCTTTTTTTACCCTACCCGACATCAATCCTACCATAAGATCTCCATTTATCTCTAAACCTACCCTAAACCTACTCCAAACCAGCCTTGAACTCAGCCTAAACAAGACCTAAGCCCGGCAACACCTCACAAAACTCACCCTGTCCCACCTTTGAGTCAACCCTAAGCCAACCTCAACCCAGCCTAAGCAATAATCCTCCCCTACCCCCACCCTAAGCGATCGTAAGCGCATCACGGACCATTCTAAACCGCGGCTGAACCCGTACACCAAGCTTAAAACAACCCTACGCCCACCGTGCACCAGGAATGCCCAAAATCTCCACATAGCGAACCTAAGCCAACCTAAATCTTAAACCCTAAACCTTGCTGAGTCAAGACCCTTTGGACGCAACAGCAGAGAGAGAGAGAGAGAGAGAGAAAAAAACATCCTAGCGTACACTACCCGTTTCCCTTACGCCAGCGCTACACACACACACACACACACGCACGCACGCACGCACGTGCATGAAGCCAAACCTTACCCTCCCGAACTCCCACCCCACCCCGCGGAACCTACCACAACCAGCCCCAATCATACTCTAAACATACCAACGCTCAAGCCTTCCCCAGTCTTTGGGGCCAACCGCAAATGGTTATCTTGATGGCAAACACCCTCTGTGCGGGAAAGAAAGGCTCCGTTTCCAGCCTTTATGCGCTTGATGCTTCTCGGGCGTTCGAGTTAGCACAACAGCTCAAAATCCAATGGAAAGCATGCGTTGTCAAAACTTGCGCAAACCTGTACTTGTGTGT